GATGTTGTATGTTTGTTCTCATCACACTTATTCAGCATAGCACTGGAATTCCAGCCAGCACAGTAAGGACAAAAGAAAGAAAAGTAAAAGGTATACAAGTTTAGAAAGGCAGAAATAAAATTGTCCCTATTTGAAGATGGCTTGTGGAAAGTGAAATTAAACACAATATAATTTAAATTTTTTCCAAAGAAAATGAAATACTTAGACACAAATCTAACAATATATATATAAGATCTGCATCCCAAAGATTACAAAATCTTGATTAAAAAAATCAAAGAAGACCTAAATAATTGGAGAGACTTACCTTTTCACGGATTAGAAGACTGGATATGGTAAAAATGTCAAGTAGTCCCAGATTACTCCATAAGATTAATGCAATTCCTATCAAAATCCCAACAACGATTTTTCTAGACATAAATATGTTTATTCTATATTTTATATGAAAAGGCAAAGGATATAGAACAGCTAAAACAACCGTCTAAAAGAATAAAGTGGGAGGAATCATTCTACGCACTGTTAAGGTTTATTATATAGCTTCAATAATCAAGACAGTGTGGTGCTGGCAAAGAGTAGATACATAGATCAATAGAGCAGAACAGAGAACCCAGAAACAGACTCATCCAAATATGCCCAGGATTTTTGACAAAGTGCAAAAGCAATTAAACGGAAAAGGATAGCCTTTCAACAAACGGTGCTAGGGCAACTGGACCTCCATAGGCGAAAGAATGAACCTCAACCAAACCTTCCACCTCATGCAAAAATTAACTCTAAATGCATCACAAACTTCAACGTAAAATATAATCCACAAAGTTTGGAAGGAGAAAAGAGATCTAGGGCCAGTCAAAGAGTTCTTAGACACGAACCCAAAAGCAGGATCCATGAAAAGAAAAACTGATAAACTGGACCTCATGAAAATTAAAACTTCTCACCTGCGAATGACCCTATTAAGATGCGAAAAGACAAAAACAGATTGGGAAAAATATTTGTACACCATAAAGCCAACAAAAGACTGGTATCTAGAAAATATAAAGAATGCTCAAAGCTCAACAGGAAAAAAACTATCCAAATCAAAAATAGGTCCAAGACATGAACAGATACTTCACTGCAAGGGGCACATGGATGGCAGATAAGAACAGGAGAAGAGGCGCAATGTCATAGCCACTAGGGGAATGCAAATTAAAGCACAACAACGTATCACTATGAACCTGTCGGAAGGGATAAAATTAAAAATAGTGATAATATCAACGGAACATATAAAATGGTACAGCTATACTAGAAAGCAGTTTGGCAGATTCTTCTAAAACTAAAAACGTACTTACCATACAACCCAGCATTTATCCCACAGAAATGAAAAACCTACGATTACATAAAACCTGTAAATAAATGTTAATAGCAGCTTTATTTATAATAGCTAAAAACTGGGAATAATGCAAATGTCCATCAGCGGTGAAAAGCTAAACTGAAATATCCCTACGATGAATGAATAAAGAGAGTGAAAGACTTGATATTCTAAAGATGTCACTTCTCTTCAAAATTCATCTATCGATCCAATGCAATTTTAATCAAAATTCCAGCAGGCGTTTTTTTTTTTTTTGTAGGAATTGAGAAGTTGATTAGAAAATTTATTTGGGGAAAAAAAAAGATGACATGGAAAGATAGCTAAGATATTTGGAAGAGGAAATAGCAAGATGCAAAACAGTATGTAAAGGATGAAAGTAAATAAAAATATATGTATATAAAAAGAATAAAATAAATAAAATTTACTTGGAAATACAAATGACTTAAAATAGTCAAAGCTATTTTTCTCTTTTTTGGTGAGGAAGATTGGGCCTGAGCTAACATCTGTTGCCAATCTTCCTCTATTTGCTTGAGGAAGATTGTCCCTGAGCTAACACCTGTGCCAATCTTCCTCTGTTTTGTATGTGGGACACTGCCACAGCATGGTTTGATGAGAGGTGTGTAGGTCCACAACCAGAATCCAAATCTGAGAACCCTAGGCCACTGTAGTAGAGCACTCAAACTTCCCCACTACTCCACCAGGCCAGCCACTCAAAGCAATTTTGAGAAAGAAAAATCTGTAGGATTGACCACCTGGTTTTCAGACTTACTGTTAAGCTACACTAAACAAGATAGTGTGGCTTGTGGGATAGTGTGGATCTATACATCTCAATGATATGTAGATATATAAATCAATAGATCAATGGAAGAAAATGTAAAATCCAAAAACAGCCTACACATTTATGATCAAGCGATTTTAGACAAAGATGCCAAGGCAACTCAATGGAAAAAGAAAAGTTCTTTCAACAAATGTTGCAGGAACAAGTGAATATTTATATTTTAAAAACCATCAACTCTTGGGGCTGGCCCCGTGGCCGAGTGGTTAAGTCTGTGCGCTCCGCTGCAAGTGGCCCAGTGTTTCATTGGTTCGAATCCTGGGCACGGACATGGCACTGCTCATCAAACCACGCTGAGGCAGCGTCCCGCATGCGACAACTAGAAGGACCCACAACGAAGAATATACAACTATGTACTGGGGGGCTTTGGGGAGAAAAAGGAAACAATAAAATCTTAAAAAAACAAAACAACAAAAAAACATCAACTCTTACATTGTACTAGACATAAAAATTAACTTGAAGTGGATCATTGGCTGAAATGTGCAAGCTAAAAATTATAAAACTTCTAAAAGTAAACACGGAAGAAAGTCTTCACAACTTCTCCCAGGCCAAGTTCGATAGGACACAAAGTATGAAACATAAAACAAAGACCTGGTCAACTGCACTTTAGGAAAATTAAAAATTTCTGCTTTTCAAAATCTCCACTAAGAAAACAAAAAGGCCAGCCACAAAACAGAAGAAAATATTCTCAGTACATGTCTGGCAAAGGAATTATATCCAGAATATTATAAAGAACTACAACTCAATAATAAGAAAACAAAGCAATTTAGAAATAAGAAAATATTTGAACCGAGACTTTATAAAAAAAGATATACAAATGTCCAATAAGCAGTTGAGAAGATGCTTTGCCTCACTAGTCATCAGGAAAATGCAAATTAAAAGCACAGTGAGATACCACTACATACCCGTTAGAATGGTTAAAATGAAAACAACCAACAATACTAAGCATTGACCAGGATGCGGAGTAACTACTACACTCACACATGATAGGTAGGAATGTAAAATGGTACCATCACTTTTGAAATCTGTTTGGCATTTTCTTAAAAAGCCAGACATATGCTTATCATCCAACACAGCCACTCCAAGAGAAATGAAAATGTATGTCCACACAAAAACTTGTAAACGCATGTCCACAGTAGCTTTATTCAAAATAACCAAAAACTAGAAATAACCCAAATGTCCATCAACTACACATTGTAGCATATCCATACAATGGAATACTGATACATGCAACACCCTGGAAGAATTCTCAAATCATTACATTGAGTGAAAGATGACAGACACAAACGAGCACGATGACCTACAAAAACAGAAACCAGTTTAAGAGGCAAAGCATTAATTTGGGATCAGATAATTGCAATTTGGGGACCACAAATTTAGGTGGAAACTCATATAGGGTCCCACTAGGGAGTAAAGTCAGGGGCTTTTAAAGGCAAAGAAAGGAGGTTGTATTTCAAAGAATTTTAATTGTGTTGGAGGCAGAGGTCTGGTCTTGGCTAAACATTGATTGACTATTGATTTCTATCTTAAGAAAGTCCACAATCCTGTCTTTCTGATCAGGATGTCTATTCCCCTGCTGACTTCTCAAACAATTACTTGAAAAAACATTGCCATTTTGGCCCAGTCCAAAGGTTTGGCCCAGAACAAGGTTCAAGACAGCAAAGCAGTTTCTCTGAAAAGGCAGCTCTGAGCCCATTTTCAAATGGCTCCACTAAAGTCAATTTTGACAAGCACATATTGTATGATTCCATTTATACAAAATTTTAGAAAATGCAAAGAAATCCACAGTGATATAAAACTGATCAGTTGATTGCCTAGGGCCAGGTGTGAAGGGAAGAATAAACTGTAAATTTTCTGTATCTTTTTTTTTAAAGATTTTTTAGTTTTTCCTTTTTCTCCCCAAAGCCCCCCGTACATAGCTGTATATTCTTAGTTGTGGGTCCTTCTAGTTGTGGCATGTGGGACGCCACCTCAGCGTGGTTTGATGAGCGGTACCATGTCCACGCCCAGGACTCGAACCAACGAAACACTGGGCCGCTTGCAGCGGAGCACGCGAACTTAACCACTCGACCCCACTTTTCTGTATCTTGATTGAGGAAGTGGTTTGTAGAGTATATGACGCCTCTGTCAATACGCTCAAATTGTAGGCTTTATGTGGATGCAGTGTATTTTTTATAAATTATACTTCAATAAAGCCACTTTTTGACGCTCCTTTATACGACACTACTTTGATAGAGACTGAAGATAGAAATAAATGTCATGGTCATTACCTTCAGGGAGCTCATAATCACTGCCCTGAACATCACTCTTTTTCATGCTTAGAGACTGGTGGATTTGCACTGACCCTTTTGCTTTCATTTTGTCCTGGTTGTGTTACTTATATTTGTAACATGGGATAAAGTTTAATCTGTGGCAGACACAATCTGAAACTCTAATCTCTTTCCTCTAAACCAGAGTTTACAACCATCTAAACTTCCTGACAGAATAAGACATTTAAATAAAATCGCTGATTAAGCCCAGGCACGAGGAACAAAGAACAACATTCAGTTGCAGTCCAAAGTTACATGAAGTTGAAACATCTAACAAAGCAACCAGATACTTTTTCTGTAGATGAAGTTAGGCAGGAAAGACTTCACTCCTGCAACGTTCAAATAGATTTTATCCTAAGAGTAGTTTAAATGGACATTTTAAATTATCATATATTGGTGTGATATCGTAATCTCACACAAAGAAGATTACCCACATGAAGATAACCAGTTTTAATACACTTCTCACTCTGCAATATTTTAACCACTTTATTTTTAAAATCAAATATGCAAAACTTACCGAAGAAATGATTTAATATTTTCAGCTTTCATCTCGGATACCAGTTTCCACCGTATACTCTGATGATAGCGCAGTGAAGTGGCTGTTTCTTTGATTGGTTTAATGAACCAGCCTGGGGGAAGAATACATACACGGATGCACACCACATACACACATAATTGCTTTTTACTTTTACAAAAACTAGAAGCCAAAAAATAGCCCTTCCCTAAGAAATAGATCATGACGATATTTACAAAAATATTCACATTAAATGCAGAAAACCTTCAAATTCTGCTGTGTAATATAATTTTGAGTTGGTTAAAACGAGTTTTATATGAGGGATGTTAGGCATCAAGGCATGGATCTCTGTCTTTCTTGTGCTGGGGTGGCGGGAGGTATCTGGTTCTTGGCACAGTGCCTGACACACAGGAGCATTCCACAAATACTAATTTAATAAATGATGAGGGAAAGGCAGTTTCTGCAGTGCTGCCCATATTAGTGGCAAGTTTTGACTCATTAATGGTGCTTGGAAATGAAATTATCTTTTTCATCCCTTCGGATACTGACAATTCTAAATTGTCTTTCCACGGCCCATAACATTACCCTAAACTCAGTGAGTATTTAATAAATCTGAATTTCAGACACACTTTATCAGAAAGGCTAAAATGCATTCCATTCGGTTTCCAGTTTTGCCGAAATTCCGGAGTTCGCCAGGCCGAGGGGGCTCAGCTGGCCAGGCGAGCCCACACCCAGCCCAAGCACCGCAGCTCCGCGCTTTCCCCGCGCTTTCCCCGCTGAGGGGCGGCTGCAGGGAGGAACACCAGCAACGGGCTGGGGGAAGGGGTTCGTGCACTTACCCACCATGAATCCCGCCAGGAAAGATGCCAGCGCTGCAGCCAAGCACATCCAAAGGTAGAGGCGGCCCCTGGACTTCGCCATGGCTTCCTGGGCACTGACCTTAGGGCGCCGGCTGCAGTGGGAAGCCTCCGGGCTGCGGAAGAACAGAGAGCGCGCCCGGAGTGCAGTGAGCGCTCCGGCGGCCCGGGAGCCTGTGTCAGCCGCAGACCGTCTGCAAAGCCCCGCCTCTGCGCTCCAGGTCGGTCCAGACGCAGCGCCAAACCACTCCTGGCTGCTTAGGTCCCCTGGGGACCTCTAGGGGACAGAGGAAGAGAGGAAGCCCTGCAAGGGGAGGAGACATATTCTTCCTACGGGCAGGCAACTTCCATTCTGTTGATCCTGCAGTAATGCGGACAAAGTGTGTGTGGGGAGCTCCTGAAAATGTCCCTAATTGTTTCCTAAAGTTGTTCTGACCCGCTTCTTTGCCACGCTCACCCAGAAAATGCTGAATTTCGACTGTGAAGTGCGTTAAAGTTCTGCGTTTTCTTCCTTGTTGATTACCCCGCTGCCAAATTCTCTGTCCTCATTTCTAACTGCTCTTGCTTGGGAAGCATTTCTAGTCCTGGCTGCTGGACCAAAACACATTAGTTCTGACAAATAAAAATGGCAAGTAATAGGCTATATTGGGGTATATGAGGAAGCCATTTGGTGTAAACCTAATTCGGCCTGACCTTGTCTTTCCGAAAGGGCCTGACCAAGGCCCTTGAGCATGAGTTGTATATCTGCTTTAGAGATTCCCTATGGCATGAGCAAAAGGCCCTTGAGATAAAGGTGCAACTTCCCTCCCCCTCCCAACGTTGGCATTTCTTTAAGGATTAAGCATCTTTCCTTAGGCTAGAAACTGATTGCTGCACTCACCTGTGACCACCCAGCTGAAGACAATAGACTTGCCTCCTGCTACGCCCTCCTGAGATAGCAGACCCACTACCTGCTGTGTCCATCAAGTGCTGTGCCGACAGGGCAGTCTTGTGACTATTGTGGGAGGGAGATTTCAATCATATGTGAAACATCCTGTTTGGGGGTATGTAACCACTCTGTATACCTCACTTCTTTTAGGGATAAGCATCTTTCCTTAGGCTAGGAACTGATTGCTGCACTCACCTTTGACCACCCAGCTCACCTGTGGCCACTCAGCTGGAGACAACAGACTGCCACCCTGCTGTGTTCATTGAGACAGAAGACCTACCTGCTATTTCCATCAATCGCTGTGCTGACACAGCAGTCTCGCCACTATTGTAAAAAGGACATTTCAATCCTATGTGAAACATCCTCTCTGGGGGTATATAACCACTCTGTGCACCCCACTTCTTTGGTGCCCTTTCTTCCTTCGGGAAGAAAGGCCCCGGGCCATGGTCCTCAGATTTCAGCTCAGAATAAACTCTCCCAAATTTTCATTTATGGATTGGTTATGGATTATTTTCGTCGACAATTCCTTAACCACGTTTCAACATCAACACTGATGAGACTGAACTCTTTTGTTTCCCCTTAACTGAACAAGTCTCCACATTTCTGGAATTCTCATTTCTTCTTCTGTAACTGGGGTTTTTCCCTGCCTCACTAGTGTGGTATAGGTTCAAATTGTTAAAATTCATTATAGTGGAACCATTTTAAAATTGAGTAGGAGCTGCCTTTCCAGACAAACTGCTTTACTGTCTTGAATCTCAATCTGGGCCAAAACGACAATTGTTTTATGAGCAATTGTTTGAAAAGTCAGCAAGAGCACAGACATCCTGATCACAAAGACTGAGGATTGTGGCCTTTCAAAGAAAGAATCAATAGTCAATCAATGTTTAGCCAAGGCTCGCTCTCTGCCTCCAACTCCAATTAAAATTCTTTGTAATGCAACCTCCCTTCTTTGCCTTTAACAGCCCCTGACTTTTACTCCCTAGGGGGACACGATTTGTGTTTCTACCTGAATCTGTGGTCCCTGAATTGCAATTCTTTGTCCCCAAATAAATGCTTTGCCTCTTCAACTGGTTTCTGTTTTTGCAGGTTGACAAAATTAATAAGATTAACCATTGAAAGTGCCTTTTACTGTAACTGATGGTAGATTCTCGGCAATGTCACGCTGCCTGTCCTCCTCCTCTTATGGCATTTCTCTTTAAAAGTATTTAGAAGGTTTGCAAATGGTGGTCCTTGTAGATAGGACTCCTGCATCTGTCCGTTTAACCCTGGAAGAGATCTTTAGCAATACCTGATTAGATTCCTCATATCCAACCAAAAGCAGTTTTGCAGCCAAAGCAAAGTTGCCTCCGAAGTGGACTATGGAGGGGCCAGTCTGGCTGTGGTTATACTCCCAGTCTTCGCTGCATTGTCTGAGGCCCTGAGGATCTTAGTTAAGGCATTTTTCTTTGCTCCTAACAAGTTCCCAGAGAGTCCAGTTTCTTTTTCTTGCGCTGTAGTTGTTGATGGGTGTATCTGATAGTTTATCCCTTGGAACCTTTGTAGAATCCCTGATAGTTAACTTTGAACCAAATATCTTTAGTGGTATAATGAATTTCAAAATATTTGTGTGTTGTTAAAGCCCAAACTAACTCCAGCTCTATTGGCTACTAGGCCTTTTGTCATTCCTCAACTGATGCCTCCAGCATTTTCTATTTTATAGAAGACCACCTTTAAAAAGATATTATCATTAAATAAGCAACCCCCCTCCCCACACAGCAGCATGTGCAGCAGGTTAGAATGAAGTTATTCAAACAGAAGCAATAGCCAATGACGTAGCTCTACTCCTCATAGTTTAAGAAACACTTCCCTCACACATCCTGGATTATTTT